CGGTGAAATCACCGTGTCACTCTGGTGTGGATGATGGACAGACTCTTTGTGAGTCTTCCTCATCCACGCAATGATTATTTAAACCAGTAGTCCCCAACGTGGTGGCATTTTGGACAGAACTCGTAAGATCAAGCCTTACGTCGGATTCGCACTTACGAATGGGGCTACGGAGCCATGTAGTTTAGACACACCCTAGGGGATTTAATCCAGATTTATGCTGGTGTAACAAATCAGAATTTGGCCTATTGCTTTCTTATTACTTTTGCATGTTTCCTAGGAGAAAGTAATGTTTATATTGGTACGAAAATTTTGTCTTTCTATAATTTTTATTTAATATCTGAGCTTCTATATATCCTTTTAAAATGCAATCTTTCATTGTAATGGTGGTGGAAACAAACCTTTATTATAATGATAGTGGGTCAGTAAAGGGTGTGTCTACACTGCAGAGGAAGATCAAAGCTACTGTGGTCAATCTTCCAGGGTTTCAATTAGCAGTTGAGTTAAGACAGCTAATTCAAACTCAGAGGGGTGCTCTTGTGGATGCCGGTAACCCTCATTTCACAAGGAATAAGGGAATTAGAAGGCAGAGTGTTCTTCTTTCCACTCCCTGCAGTGTAGACAGCGCCAAAAGCTGAGCTAAGCTACTTAGACTTCAGCTACGCAATTAACATAGCTGAAGTTACATATCTTAATTCAACGTTGTCCAGTAGTGTAGACGTGCCCCAAGGCATTTATTTACGTAGACAGCGCTAAAAGCCGAGGTAAACTACTTCAACTTTATCTACACAATGAACGTAGCTGAAGTTACTTATCTTAATTTGACTGTGTCCCGCAGTGTAGACATAACCTCACATATTAACTATAATACTATATCTTGTATTTTATAATAAGCTCCCCAGATTTTAAAATAAATTCTAGAAATCTTTGGATATATTTGAAAAAAAAAAACTTTATATCTTCACTTCTGAGATGAACAGTTGGCATGAAGGAATGCAGGTGAGTTCGACTATACGCAACACTTTCCTACATATATCGTAAATGACATATGCAAGATTAATAACAGAGAAGCAACACCTAATGCAAGAATTCCAACAGCGGGGAAAATGTTATTTGCTCTAATTCTAACCCATATAATGTGCATGGTGGTATATACCACACACAGTAATAATAGTAAGACCCAGGAGATCAGATGTTAAGTTAGTTAACCACCAGAACACTAAGATGGACTTTTTTTATTATACTGTTGCATTTTTTATGTAAGGTTAGCATATTTCTATTTTAAATATGTCTATATTCCCTATCCTCAAAGTACTTTATAAAGCATTGCATTGAGCTGAGTGTGCCTATACTAATACCACACAGTGCTAGTGCCTTTTGCTTGCTGTGTGTAACAATATAAATAGAATGTTTAAATTGCTAGCACATTTTAAAATCATCGATAAGCTGTGCAGTTTTGCTTTGCCATCACACGGTAAGAAAGATGAGATTACATGCTCTATATACTAGATTTTAAATACCTTGGGAGCAGGGACCGTGTTTCTTTTTTAAATTTTAGCTGCGTGGCAATTAGTCTATGACAGGGCTACTCAACATGCGGCCGGTGGGCCACATGCAGCCCACAGCCTGTTTGTTTGCGGCCCGCGGTGCAGTTTGGGATTATGCGGGGTTCAACACATGGCCCTCAGGTGGGAGACAAAACAAAAAAGTAGTCAATATAATGGTCTTCTGTATGCGTTTTTGTAGATACATTTCTGGACTGTCACTGATCATTAAAAGTGTCATATGGGTGGAAATTGGGTAAATATTGCATTTTATTAATACCAGTCGAACTACTTAAATGGGGCCTGCGTGTTGTCTAGTCTTGCCTTAATCTTTGTATTCATTCCTGTCCTTGTGAAGGAAGCTATTTGCATATATTTGCATATATATGCAACCACACTTAAGTTGGGGCCCTCCTGGGATGAGGTTTACCTGGGAGGTCGACAAATGCCATTGATGTCGACCGCAGAGCTTCCAGACTACTGCGCTGAGCCGACAAACAGCTGATGGGCTCAGTGCAGCAGCCATTTAAATTTAAATGAAGCGGCGATTATTTAAATGGCCGCTTCATTTTCCTATGCCGGGTAGCCTAATCTACATACCTCTGGCGACAGAGGCATGTAGTCTAGACATACCCCAAGATAAATTATTCCAGTAAAAATCCTAACCCACTCCATTACTCATTTTATCTAACAAATTCTCCAAATCTCCACTAGGTGGCAGTTTAATACTTTCTGGGTTTACTGCTGTGTTGTTTATTAGTCACATAGGGTGTGTCTAGACTACATGCCTCCTTCGACGGAGGCATGTAGATTAGCCAGATCGGGAGAGGGGAAAGA